AGGTCGGGACCCGGGACCGGAGAAGCGAGGACTCGGGACCGGAGTAGGGGGCGGGCCTCTGGCCAGCAGGCGTATTGGGACAGACACCCTCTTGGGTCCTGCCTTCTCCAGAACCACCGCTCCACTAACGGTACTGCGCCTTCCCTCCGCTCTATTTTTCCTGGAGGAGGGCAGGGCAGGACTCGGCGGCTCCAATTTACGGGTGATGAAACTGAGGTCGGAAAAGGAGACGCTGCTGGGGCGCTAAGGGTCTGCTGCGAGCCTGCTTCGCGGCCCCTTCCCAGTCTTCCCACGACCTGACTTTTGCAGAAAGGATTCGCTTATTACCCATGTCTCCCCCTCCCTCCGCCCCTCTGTAAGTTTTGATTTGGGAGTCCAAGAGGAGCCCCACCGCGCCTGAGCCTACTGTGAGCCCGGCCCACTCCTGGCGGCTACAAGTGTCCGAAAGCCACGAGTTGCCAGCCAATCACTCGGATGTCTCATACCGGTGCCCGTGGGTGCCCTCCCGGGGTCGAGGCGCGCTGCCAGCTGCGCGGCCCGGAAGGGGGTAACCGCTGGGCCTTTGATCTTCCTTGGTTTCCGCTCCCCGCTGCAGTTCGCCAGACCCATGGGCTTGTTTGTTTTGTCTGGGGAAGTTTCTGCGGAGGGGAGGGAGACATCAAGGGGTTCCACCCCACCTTTGTGGCTGTCAGGGAGAATGGCTGCTCTACTGAGGACACGGTGGGCCTGTCAAGTTGGGCCTGGTACCCGTCAGCCTGGGCATGGGGAAAGAAAACCCTGTGAGAAGAGTGAGAAGACCAGCTCTGCCCCCGGGACTGAGTTCTCTGCGTGAGCCTCAGTTTTCAGGTCTGTAAAATGGAGGCTCAAGTCTGCCCTTTTTGCCAACTCCTTAGAGCGGCATTGCCCGAGAAAGATAATGTGAGCAACATGTGTAAAGCTAAATTTTCTAGTAGCCGCATTTCTTTTAAGTAAAAAGAAACAGGGATTAAGAGTAGCGTATTATCGCGAAGAGCACTGAGTTACGTGTAGAATTGTTGACTCCTATATACACCTGAAACTAATATAGCACTGTATGTTAATTATACTAGAAGAAAAAATTAAAATAAAAGTAATTTTTTTTACTTTTTTTAATGTTTATTTATTTTTGACAGAGAGAGAGACAGAGCATGAGCAGAGGAGGGGCAGAGAGAAAGGGAGACACAGAATCCGAAGCAGGCTCCAGGCTCTGAGCAAGCGGTCAGCACAGAGCCCGACCCGGGGCTCCAACTCAGACCGTGAGATCATGACCTGAGCCGAAGTCGGACGCTCAACCGACTGAGCCACCCAGGCGCCCCTAAATTTTTATTTTTGATAGAGAGAGACAGAATGCAAGCAGGGGAGGGGCAGAGAGAGAGGGAGACACAGAATCTAAAGTGGGCTCCAGGCTCTGAGCTATCAGCACAGAGCCCTACACGGGCCTTGAACTCAGCAACCCTGAGATCATGACCTGGGCCGAAGTTGGCCCCTTAACCAACTAAGCCACCCAGGCGCCCCTAAAAAAATTTTTTTTATGTTTATTTTTGAGAGAGAGAGAGAGTATGAGAAAGCATGAGCAGGGGGAGGCGGAAAGAGAGGGAAACACAGAATCTGAAGCAGGCTCCAGGCTCCCAGCTGTCAGCACAGAGCCCCATCGCAGGGGTTTGAACTCACAAACCTGGAGATCATGACTTGAGCTGAAGTGTGGTGCTTAACTGACTGAGCCACCCAAGTGACCCAAAAGTAAAATTTTTTAGAGGCTTGCAAGAACACTAAAAGAAAAAATATATAGGCCATATTACTCATCAACACAGAAGAAAGCAAAAAGAAACATGAGATTAATAATATATTTTATTTAACCCAATATACCAAAAATATTATAATTTCAACATATAATGAGATATTTTACATTCCTTCTTTTGCGCTAAGTGCTTGAAATCTGGTGTGTATTTTACACTTAGAGCTCATCTCCTCCCAGACTAGCCACATTGCAAGAGATCAATGGCCACGTGTGGCTGGTGGCTACTGCATTGGGCGTCCTAGCCCCAGAGCATCTACATGTCACAAAAGGACGTTGGGAACGGCACGGGCCTCCAGAGTCATAAATTTCTTCACCCACCAATGTCTTACTTCTATCCTCCAAATCCATCCTCTTTGGTGAAAATGAAGGCTCATCTTATAAGCAGGTACATTAATGCTGTTAGCAGGCTGGTTTCATTTGAGGAGTCCTGGGACTCCCCAAAGTAATGTTTTTGCCATTTTATATTGCACTTCTTTACCCAGGACCTACCATATGCCAGCCATCATCCTGAGTCAGGCATAGCCCCCAGAACCACAACTGTCTGATGCAGGCTTGTACTTGGCTTTAAAAAGAAAGGAAACCATTAGGCTCAGAGAGGTGAAGTCACTTGTCCAAGGTCACACAGCTAGCCGGTGGCCTGGTGAGGACTGAACCGAAGCCTGTAGATTCCATTGGCCGGGCTGTTTTCTCTATACGAGCCTGCCCCAACACAGTCTAAGCCTCACATTCATTAGAGAGAGTCCCCCATCTGGAAAACCATTCTGATGATGTAGCAGCTCTGTGACAAACAAACCCTGTTTTAGGCACTTACGATCCGTCGCGGAACAAAACAATCCCCAGCTCCCACTCTACCGAGAGGAAGTGAGACAAGAAACAATAAGCTTAACAAACGGGAACATAGTGCATGCACTAAGTCAGAAGGTGACATGCCAGCTATGCAGCGGCTCTCCACTGAGGGCAATTTGCCCCCCACGGGACATTTGCTAGGACACCTAGCAAACAGAGAGTCGCCACTAAACATCCAACGATGCACAGGACAGCCCCCACAACAAAAAATTATCCAGCCCCAAATGTCAATGTTGCCCAAGTGAGGGCTCCCCCGACCCACCCAGCAACAGGAAAGTGAAAAAGCAGAGCAGGAGAAGGGGAGTCAGGAGCAGGAGGGAGGTGGGGGTTTTGAGGGTCTGATTCAGAGCAGGAGGCCTCCTGTGAACCCCCTCCAGAGGAAACGGAATTCTACTGGGGTCGCTCTTGGTCTCTCTCATCGCCACCCCCCACCGGTGCCGGGGTGCATCTAAATCAAAGCAAAAGTCTGCGCGTTCTTTCTCACAGTGCTCAAAAAGTTGGTTACTTCCTTAAACCGGCCATGGCTTTCTTCTTTCATGAGAAAAAAGTCTCCCCTGTTCCCCTTGGGAATTTCTTTTTACAGTTCAAAAAGAGATAAAAGCAAGAACTAAAACTCCACAGTTACCAGTTTGAGTCTTGGGGGAAGTAAATCCCAAATGTCCAGCCCAGACACAAAGGGCCCCCTCCACCTTCAGCCTGGCCCTTCCCAGCCGGGCAGGCGCCGGGGACCTGGCTGCCATTGGAATCGTGACACCACCACCCCCACCAACCTGGCCCCGGGGCGAGAAACCAGAGAGGTGGGCCATGCGCTGAAATCTTAGCCTGTCCAGGACTCCGAGGAGGGGCTCCCCGGGGGGCCACGGACCCACCGTCCACCTGGGGTGGCTATTTGGCCTCTGCTGGCTCCCCGCCCCACGACTCACTGTCTTTTTATGTGTTTTAATAATTTATCTGGCCCACTTCTTGGGCTGAATACTTACAGTGACACATCTTTTTCTTTGAAGATTTCCCATCCTTTGGGGGAGGAGAATGAGAAAGGATGGGAAGGAAGAGATAAGAGAGAGAGATTATAACAGAAACGGGTTTCATGGGGCTTGAGATTTAGCAAGGCTGGTTTAGGTGAAATCTGTTAGATGTCGAGCTGGGAGGTTTTTTTTTTTTTTTTTTTTCCTTTTAAAAACCACATCACCCTGGTGGGTCACCCCCACGCTTGTCCCCAGGTTAAAGCACTGGCTCCCTTTAAATGCCACCTCCTAGAAGTAGCCCTCCTTGACTTCCCAACCTGAAGAGCTCTGAATAGCCAAGGTCCCCTCCCTTGCCTCTCGGTTTGGCACTCCTTATTTTTTTAATGATGGCACTAAATTCTCCTCTCAGAGTCTAGGCTCTTTAAAGGAGGGGCTTTGCCCGACTGCCGTCTCTAGATGCAGTACCCATCACTGCCCATAGGAGGCGCTCTAGATGGAATGAGAAGAGCCCACTGAGCCCCACCTCCACCCTCCCCCTTCCAGGGTACGCTGTCAATGAGAAGGTAGGACACTGCCAAGAATATGCCCTGGGATACACTCAAGAGAAAATGAATGCCCAACTCCGCCGGCTCCCCCCCACGCCCGGTCCCTGGGCTGCTTCATCCCGCCCTCCTGCAGTGCGATTGGGCATTGCTAAGTGGCCTGCAAACCCCGTTTGCGTAAGGAAGGGAGAGGTGAACCGGTCTGCACGAGAAAGTCGCAAGAATTTTGGAGAAGGCCACGAGGAAAAGGAAGGAAAGCATGTCAGGGGAACCAAGGAGCACGAGAGAAGGGCAATAAATAGGGGCCAAAGGAGGGGCAGTCCGGTGAGGAGGGGCCGGCCAGTTAATGTTCAGGACAGTGAGGTATAACGTGAGATCGGCAGGCGTCACCTGCTCACCTCTATGGTGGGATGGCCCTCGGTCGCTCCCAACCTGGGCAAAACCCTAATCACGTCTCTGGGTTAGTGGCACAGGACAGAATGAAGGAACGGGCCCAACATCGGTCGTCATAGGGCAACGGGTCACACAGGTCGTCGGCAGAGTGGAAGTGTTCATCCGGGGGAAGGATGGGAGCCGGGCGCAGCCAGGAGGAACGCGGCCCCAGCGTCAGTCCTTGGAGATGAGGTAAAGGAGGCTGGGCTTCCCCCAGAACGAGGGGTGAGGTCCCCAAGCCACTCGATTCAAGTCGTACAGGAAAGAGGCTCCAAAGACAGCTACTCGAGCCTAAACATTAGCTGAACTGAACTGGATTTTTGTGCCACCAGCCTCTCCCGGGTCCAGGGTGTTTCAGCAAGTTCAGAGCACGGGCTTCCCAGAAGGGAAGGAGAGAGGGAGGAGCGTGCCTGGCCTCAGCATGATGCTCCTTGGTGACGTCCTGCCCTCCTCCAATCCCTGCCTCTCAGCCCTTCTTCCGCATCTCTGTGAAGCCCTCCCAGTTGCCTTACTGTGTGTCTACTTCCAGACTTCTTTCCACAAAAGGGAGAAAGAGGGGCGCCTGGGTGGCTCAGTCGGTTGAGCGTCTGACTTCAGCTCAGGTCATGATCTCACGGTGTGTGAGTTCAAGCCCCGTGTCGGGCTCTGTGCTGACCGCTCGGAGCCTGGAGCCTGCTTCCGATTCTGTGTCTCCCTCTCTCTCTGCCCCTCCCCCGCTCATGCTCTGTCTCTCTCTGTCAAAAATAAATAAACATTAAAAAAAAAAAAAAAAGGGAGAAAGAAACTTCCACCTTCCCAAGCCTTTGTTTTTCAGTCACATGCTGTCAGTCTGGGGCCTACTCACCACACTCAGTCTGTATGTCTATAAAATACAAGAAAGGATCCGGCCTATCAGCATTTCCCAAAGCAGGTCCCATGGAGAACACCAGAATTGTGAGATGCTATCCTTATGTGAAAGAAAGGGCTCCATGTGAAACTTTGGGCAGCCCTGGCCTAGCCACGGGGAGATAAGTTCCTTTTCTGCAGGACCTGTCAGA